GTTGCATTATCAGTTGTCACTAATTACAACTATCATTTACCAACTATCAGCTATCACTATGAACACTAGTAACCAGATTTACTTGGAGGCTGTGGTCGTCACTTGTGGTGTGTGGTCTGCACTCGACGCGCATTGGTTTTTCGAAGCAGAGTATATCTTGGGCGGATCAGCTGTCATATGAATTGCTTTTAAGCTAGAAATTTTCGTAGGTTTTTTTAGTGGCACATCTAAAATGGCAACTGTGTTTTCTAAACCCGACCTCCTCAGACACTTCCTAATGGAAATGCTAACTTCCTCAGAGATGAATGGTACCATAAATGGGATTTTGCCATTGAGGAAATTACCACCGGGTCTGTTGCCCGGGCCGCCATTTCTTGCTCTGTGGGAGGTCGGAGGGTTCCCGTAGCCATTGAGCTCAATTTTTTTTAGTGTTTATGTGGAAACCGATAAAGAATGTGGAAGCCGTCTTCATTTCGTAAGTCGGTATTCCATGAAATAGAAAGCGGTTTAGTGATAATTACCGTGCACTTTATTTTTTTCAGCGTTCTAATTCCTGATCATTATAAGCAGCATTCCTCATCAGTGTGAGAAAAGTAATAAGACAGCAAACACCTGATCACTAGAACATTGGCCTTTTGTTTTCGAAATACACGGTTGTTAAGAGCAACGGGGTGAACTTTGCAGCCTCAGTATCCGGTTTCTTTTCCATGTTTATCTGAGTTTTCTTCATCTTTTTTTCGATTGTCGCACATTTCATTTGTTATGAAGTGGTCACTAGGGATTTGTGGAAACGAGCACTTCTTAATTTCAGTGCGCCCTTGGAGGACGGGATAAAAAAATTGTTGAGATAATTTGTTTTTTCTATAACTTAATGGCAAAACTCTCCTAAATGTTCATTTTTCGGGAAAGAAACTTCCGTCTGGATTTTTTCTGCAAAAGCAAGTTTTTGAGCTTCTAACCAACGTAACTCCTCTAAGTGGATTTTGTGGAAGTCATCGGATATGGAAAAGAACTAGAGACTATGAGCTTTTCAAAGAAGCCTCACACGATCCCCAAAATTCCCTGCAGATTTGCCCTTTTTTCGAGGTTTCTGAGGGCTCTCCTCGAGCAACGAGTTTTCGAGATTTCAACGATCACGACTTCCTTCACAGTGATTAATCGGTAAAAGGAAAGGCTTTGCTGGAAACAAGGGAAATTTGTACTCTCCATCGGGCACAGGAATTATTCTGCAGAAATTCTCGCTTGAGAATCTCTTTCGTAACTCTAGATAATCGAA